TTTCGCCCAAAGAAGGCTTGATTATTGTAATGGGCCTCCTAAGCCCAAGGCTAGGGGCCCAAATCCACATTTTTACCTATAAATAGACCCCAAGGGGCTAATTATAGGGGGTTCCAAGTTGAGAAATATAATTACTCACTTTCTCTCTCTAGCTCTCACTTCTCTCTAGAATTAATACTCTATCACAAAGTGTTGAACTTAACTAAAAATCTATAGCTAATGAGTCACGAGCCTCAATGTACTTGCTCAAAATGAAGTTAATAAATAAGTATACACTATATTTTAGCACTTACCATTGTATTCCCTTTTTGCGCAAGCTTGGTAAAATATAAGAGTGTTGTACGCCTATGACGCTTAGGTATATACTTACTTTACCTAGTGAATGAACTGCATGGGTATGCATGTAAATGCGGAAGTCGTGTTTCTAATTTGCAATGTTTACCTTTGTTCATTTGACACGGTGATTGTCATTATGTAACATTTCTTCATAAACTATATTTTTTCTCCAAATTGGTTAGCGAGAAATATCTTTGTTGCATATTAGTATTTTGAAACATTTTGCGCTCAACCAGCCTTCAAGATCTTGTCTATAAGTCTGGTGAGGATCAACTCTCTTAGGTTGAACCGTGGTTCGTGTTGTCTCTTAAATGGTATTGGACAATTGTTATTGTTGGATGGTTAGAGGGGCAATTTTGACAGGAATACATGTTTTCCCATATGTTCACCAGATGCGATTGAACAATTCATGACATGGTCATGAAACTCGTGACATATCAATCGTATCCCATCGCACAAGCCCTCAGCAGGGTTTAAAGTTCTGAGTAAAATCACTGGACAATTCTTTTTCAGTACCAATGTATGCGGACGCAAACAGGGGCAGGCAAATGTTGTTTAGGAAATAACCACATTCATTATATGTACTTGAATCGAGTAGCGCATCATATCTTACATAACACCGTTCTTCCCTGGGTAATCATTAGTAGATATGGATCATCACAAAACTTTGACATATTAGGGTACTGGGTACACATGGTGTATTTGTGCATTCAATTATTGACCAGCCATTGTTAGTGTAAGGAATATGTCACGCCCCGGACCTACCGGACACGTCAACAACCCGCCGTACAGTACGAATAGTCAACCGCAGTCCAACTCATCCATACTATACTACGCGTCTTGAATACCATTCATACATAGTACATCCATGAACAAACATAATGTAAAATATTCATTTAAAGCAGCAGAAACATTTAATACAAGTGTTTATGCCACACTTTAGCAAACATGGGCATACAAGCCCCCAAATATATATTCAAAAATAATATCCATGAGCATTAAATATAATTGTTTTGAAAACAGATACGGAGGAAGCACGAACCATGTCTCCTCTCCTTGGGTCTTCCCAAGCAACGGGCAATGGTAGCAACCTTCAAGTTCTACCTGAAACTGTGAGATGGCCTCCCCCGTGAAGGGGAGGTCAGTACTTGGAAGCATTTCACAAGTACAATGACAACTATACTAAGTATAATCAATGTTTCAATTTTTAAAACCCTCAAATAGAGTGATATCATAATATAATGATGGTTATTCTTCAACCCTTATTATCTTCATAATAAGTTAATTAATAAATTTGTCGGCACACGGCCCCTTTCTATATTTTATTTCATCCATCGTTTACACGACACCGCCCGTAGGTCTTATCATCCTTTCGAGACTTGTCACCGCTCTCCGAGGCCTCATCGGGCCCTCAGGCCGGAGTCCAACATCCCGCCCCTGAACTCATACCCATCATCCCGTAGGAAGGTAAGGTCCATTCGGGGTCTTATCTTAAGTGTTACCGCTGTCGGGAGCCTCGTAAGGTCTCCGGTTCGGATTCCACCCTAACCCGTGATCACGATGTAAGTCCATGCTATCCAACCCCGCTCTCTAGAGTCGAGAAGGGCCATGGTCCTTACTATTTACCAATATTCTACCGGCTATCCTCAAGGACTACCGAAATGGCCAATCCTATATCTAGGATCAATTTAATATTCACTTTACCTTGGGTATCCCTTAAGGCCTACCCCTAGTATCACTCAAAGTTCATATTTATCCACCTTAGTATCTCTTAAGACTACATAAGGCTCAACATTTCACAATCCAAACCTTGGATCAATTCTAGCATATTCTCATTCCAACACCCCGACTAGTATCTTAATACTAGTCGGATAAATTCCAACAAAACAAATTTTCAATTCATAGCCATATAGACAAATTCCAAACTAATTTTCCTTTGAAAATATAGTTCACATCAATATACAAAATATAACTTTTAATCACTCATATGCTCTTATATGAAGTTAAAATTATATTTCAACAAATAGTTTATAGTTAATTCCTTTATCAAGCCAACATGCTCATAACACATAATCATACACAATTTATTCTTAAATTTGTATATTATGCTTCTTTTCCTTATAGACAATAGTCTTCTCATTCTTAGGCATTATTAATCATTAATAATCCTTAAAAATCATATTTAATTACCTTAGGTAATCTCATGAAATTAACTCACTAATTATAAGCAATATAGTCAGCCATCCTACCTTATGAAGTGCTGAAATAGTTGCTTTTGTTAAGCCCTTTGATCAATCCCCGTCCTAAACCGATCGAAAGTGCAAATTCTGGACAGCAGCCAAAAGCCGGGCGGCTTTCACGAAAGCTGGGCGGCTTTCGTGGTCTGCAACTGCGAACAGCCTCCTATACTTGGCGGTTTCCGGCGGTTTCAACTCCTATCGATTCCACGACTCTTCTAAGTTAAATACCACCACTTTATAACATTATTCCACACTTTTAAACGTGTAGAACCTCATGTTTAATCCATCATATGATTTTTCAAAAAAAAATCATACACTATAAAACTAGTTAAAGAGGATAGGTGAGTTCTTACCTCCCTTCTAGCTAGTTTTCTCCTTGGATTTCCTTTCTCCTTGCTACCTTCAAGTTTGGACCTTGTTGAAGACTTTTTCCTTGAGCTCTATCCCTCTTAGCTAGTTCGAATGGTGTGTAATGAGATAGGAATGATTCCTTCTCAATCAAACACAAATAATGTGAGAGTGGGGTATGGAGGGTGTGAGTTTTTGTCTCAAGGAGACTTCCTCCTTCATGCACGCCCCTTCCCCTTTATTTTGTCCCCCTCCTCACTCATTTGGGGCTAAATGGGTTGTAGAATACCCCAAGTGGGTATAGGAAGTCCCTCCTAATTATTCCTGCTATTTTCAGTAGGTTGGGCCAAAATAGCACTCGGGGTGTCCAAATATTTTTATCAACTTTGGTTGACACTTTATTGGGCTCCTATAATTATTATGATACCCAACTAAATATTTGGTAGCTCATTCTCATTATTATGGGCTCGATAAATAATTTAATTAATCGCACATTAATTAAATATGCCAATCAATTACACGAATCTTATTCGCTAGGAAATTCAAATACATATCAACTTTCAAATTCAAGTGCACACGAGAGCGGTGTCACAGAATAAGTAGAAAATGGTGTGGAATAATAATCGTAGATTCTAAAACATATGCTTCAATTTCATTTCCTACCCGCATTGGGTATTCACTAAAGCCTGAATCATAAATCGCTCTCATTTTTTTCTATTAATAGTTACCTTTTAGTGAATGACCATATTGCACGAGAATTGATCAAGGTGACTTCAATGAATTCTTTTTCGCTGCCTGATCTAATCACATGTAATGTTTGTCGGAATCCCCCCAAAAACCACGACTCTATCCGTGAAAAGTTTATCACAATTTGAGATCTCTCTCAAGGTCGTCTCAACGTTCTCCACACTTATCCATTTGCCATAGTCTAGCTTCATCCCATAAAATTAGTTTGCAATAACATATTATGAGGACGATTACCATTACACCGACGTGTATGTGATAGGTGTTATAGACAGTGATGGACACAAATGGGGCAAATGGGGGCCGCCGCCTCCCCCCAATTTCTTTTCAAGTAGGTATAATTACTCAAAAAAATTAACGCATGCTCCACATGTATTAGTACATACTGGTATTAATTTATACTACCCATTCCGGTCGGGAAATCATGTGTCAGCTACTCCCTCCGTATTTAAAAGTTCCCTACACTTTCCTTTTTTGGGATGTATTTTAAAGTTCTCTACACTTTCATTTTGGTAAGTTTATCCTTTATAAAATAGTCAACTAGTCTTACTTTATCTACTTTTTATCTTCTCTTTAATACTTTTACACTCCTTTTCTACTTTTTCTACACTATTCACTACCCCTACTATTCTATCATAAATATTGTGACTAAAGCTAGTGTAGTGAACATTTAAATACGAAGGGAGTACTATTTAGGGAAATGATTTTAATTAAAACATTAAAAATTAAACTACACATATGAAAAAGACTCTATATTATAGCATAACTAAAATTTAGAGCCCGTTTGGAGAACTCTGTTTTCGGCTTATCAGGCTTATCAGCCAGCTTTTTCACCAAACACGTAATTTTTATTTTCGCGCGCTGAATTGTGTAATAAGCCGAAAAAGTAAGGTTGGAGTTACTTTTCTGGCTGTATTGGCTGAAGTTACTGTAGAGGACCATTTTAGCTATTTTTACATATAATTTTTTCTTTAATTTATTAATAAAATATATTTTTAAAATATTTTTTTCTTAAATCAGCAGAATCAGCCAAAACAGCCACTCCAGCCAGAATATCATAAATTTCAGCAGAATCAGCCAAAACAGCCGATTTTGGTGCTACCAAACGGGCTCTTAAACTCTTTTGCAGGCCATCACATCTTTTTATCCCTCGTTAACTTGTCAAGTCAAATCAGAAACATTTTCACAAATTGGGGAGTAATAAAATGTAAATTATACTCTATACCAATCTAGATTGATTAAACTAAAACTAAAACGTGTTAATTGAAAATAAAACTTAGGTAAAGTATGAACACACCACATTCAAGTTGAAGGATAAAAATACACGAGGGGACAAAAAGGAGGGGGCAAATCACAAATGCATTTATATTTTAGGAAACATGTTTCGAACTTCCCGGCTTTGGAATAAAAAAAACTAGATTTAGGTAACAAAAAATCTTTACATTAGGCAAACTGTATCAGAACGAGAATTGACCATATGCGTAATGTGGAATATATATGTAGATTGAATAAATAATACGGAATACACACATTACATACGGAGTATATATTTGCTGATTCAAGCCATTTTTGAGCCAGAGCTCTGAGAAGCAGAGACGAAGGTTAGTCGTCGATCACTTTGCATTGCATGATTGCATCGATGGATTATCATTCACATACTAATTTACGTTTCATACGTATCTAATCACTTGCTTTCAGCCATTAACGCCAGTCAAGTTCTCTTATTTCGAATTTCGTTTAGTTGTGTTAGATTATATGTATTTGATTAATTGATTATGCACCTCTCTGTATTGCTTTGTATTAATCTTTGTTTTCTTTGGATGATTGTACTCTTCCTTTGCCGAAGTGTGAAATACAACAATAAATGAATAAGTGATACGAACATGTGTAAACGAGTAAGAAGCTTTTTGCATTCCCGTTGGAAAAAACCCTAGCAAAAAAGAAATTTAACTTCTTCCCTCCCAATTTAATGGTCTCAATTCCACTTTTTGAAATAGGCCCGCATTTTAAAAGTACATTATTCAACTTTATCTAATATATATATTCCATTCCCTCATCTTTCACTAAAATCACTCTCATTTATCTCCCCACCATAAAAGGTTTCGACTTTATGCAAAATCACAACATTAAATCGGAACTGGGGAGTATTTTCCTATTCAAGCAATGAGTTGTTTTTTTTCCTGTTTCTCAATACTCCTAAATCTCACTTTTGTGGTTTGTACTTATGTACTTCGATTTTTCCTGTTTCTCAGTACTCTTAAATCCACTTTTTGTGATATGTACTTGTACTCCGTATCTTATTGCCAGTAGGAGTAATAAAGGAAAAATCTTTTCAGCGTTGAAGCTTCGCAAGTTAGAATTTTTAAACACGTTCTGTGTAAAAGGGTTAGTAGGCGGGGCTTTATTTACAAGTTACAACTCTCCATGGGCCTAAAGAAATCCCCAGATTATATTTAGCGGAATTTAGTTTTAGATGATGCCAATTTGCACACGTGGTCTTTATTCTTATTTTTGTAAAGAAAGCCTGTTTTAGTTTGGTATATGAAAGCTACAGTCTGCAATATTCTGTTGCTTCCACACGTAGTGCTTTAAAAAAGAAGGTTTGGTCAATTGGTCCAGGTGTCCCATCTTTTTCCCTTTTCTTGTTATATATCTATATATTATATATCTATATATATATACATTCACAATCTCACACACACATACGCACATGTGAATTGTATTTTTCATGTTGTATTAGTAAACAAAGTTAGATTGCTTGAGTTGGTAAATGATCATTTACTTATAATTTTAAAGCTATTGTACTACTGGGGGTATGGCATGGGCAGAGTGGCCAATTGATCTTTTAGCATCCTATTTTGAAATTTGGAAGATTAATTTATATCAGGAGAAACTTCCGTTGCTGAACTTTAAAATCAGTTTTGGTGTTATTGTTTTTGCAGACACGTCTGGATCCTTATCTCTCTAAGTGCTGCCTGCTATTGTCATCTAGTTGTAGAAAATTCTTTATTGTAGACTGGAGCTGGAAAAGAAAAGGATAATATATGGAGGTAGACGCAGGAAGAGGTATGGGATGCCAGAAGATTATGGATGGGAAGGAGGAGAGTAACAGCATTGGTTTAGACATGGCTACTCTCCCTTCTTGTTGCTTGAAAGCTAGGGCTTGTGATGCAGAGCCTGAAGCCACAGCCCATTCAACAGTTTGTTCTGGATGGTTCTCTGAACGGCACTCACCCACTGGTTATATCATATGCCTCTTATTTTTTTCCCGGAATTTATCGAGTTTGTTTTACTTTATTTGAGTTATTAGTTTTCATATTTGAAATTTAATATTAGCTCTTCTTTTGTGTGTCCTCTCTTTTAGGTGAAGATGGAAAGGTATTGTATTATAACAATCCGATGTGGCCAGGTATTTTTCCTTTCATTCTTATTTCTCCTTTGATTACACAGTTTATTGCACATCTGTTATCTTGAATTATAATCCTTAAATTTCAAATTTGTTTCGTGAAAGATTGTGTGTATATCTTTTATGTTCAGTCAAAGCTATATTATCTCTTTCTGTTTTTTTTTTTTTGCATATTTTAATGTTAGAGTATCATGTAGATTCATCTTAAATGAGAATGACCATTTATTGTGGCTGGGATCTTACTGTTGTTTGGTTTACTAAAGTTGAATTTCATATTATAAGCCGTGCTGAGAATACATATTTTCCTAAAACTTCTAATGTATCTGCAGTATAAGTGAATATGGTACTCCGTATATGTTATGCGTGAATGATAGATCATTAATAAGCTTTGTACATGGACTTCGGATGTCCATTGGATTGCCCCATTCAATACAAAATCTGCCATGAGTTATTGAAGTCATTGCTAAAGTTGGTCTTTGTTTTCATGTGAGGAGGAATCATGGTGAAACTGTTTGCTAATTAATCTACAGTATATTACACTTGTAACATACAGTTTACCTTGTTCTAGACAAACTTGTAAGCTTTGTGCCCACCTGCTAATACTCTGGTGCATGGATTTTGTATGCTTTTTAGTTGTAGACTTGTAGTCGCAAAGCATTTTTTGTTAGCACTTCAGTACTTGTAATCAGTCTTTCTTACACCCACGTCTATCTCATCTCTCTTCATTAAGCATCTTAGAAATTCTAACCTCAATATCTCATGCACTTTCTCTTGGACATTTTTTTCAATTCACCATCAACATTCCAACATTTGCTAGCTGGCTTAGCAAATTTCACTTCCAATTCATAGGCATTTCAGAATCAAATCAACCAGAAATTACTCTTATTCATCCCAAATCTTTGCCAGCTTTCAACTTTTGCCTGCACCAACACTTTCAATTTCATTTAAAGGATATTCTATTTCTTTTAAATATATCTGAACCACACAGATTTATTTTCTATTTTAGAATTTTTGGTGGCAATTAACCTTTTGAAAAAATTATGTGGGACTGAGGTAGTATATCCTTTTGTAAACTGCAAACACTTTCTTTAGTGAAGGGGGCCATGTCGCACTGGTTAAGGTGTTTCTTTGCAACCTGAGGTCACATGTTCAAGTCTTAAGAGCGGCCTCTTGTCAAAATGAAAAGTGAAGACTTGCCCGTCCTACACCCTTTCCGTGAGACCCTTCCCTGGACCCTCGCCATGTCGAGATGCCAATGTGAATAGGGCTGCTCCCTTTTTCAAACAATTTCTTTAATGTTTAAGAAGTTGTCTAATTTATTGCGGGGTTACAACATTCAACTGTTTAAGGATAACTTCATTCTAAACTATCTATTAATCACTTCATCTCATTTTGAATTTCCTATTTACTCACATTATTTATTGGTCAAACCAACTATTGATTTTTTGCTTATCTTCTTTAATATTTTTTAAATTCGGTTGTGTTTTAATAATATTTTTCTATAGTTTCTAAATATTTAAATTCTGCTTAAATGTATATGATAAAGTGTTACAAATGTAAAATCACAAATAGCTTCGTCCATAAAATAAGTTCTTAGTTATATATTATTTTGCTTCTAGGGGAAGTACATTCTATCAAAGTTGAGAAGATTTTATTCAAGGAAAGATCAGTATACCAGGAGGTTCTTGTGTTTGAGGTTGCAATCTATTCTCTAAATTGTTTTCTGGCAACCTGTGAATATCATTTTTTTCGGGGGGTGGGAGCGGCTGGAGTTCTAGATGTCTAATATGCTGCTGTCTTGCAGTCTTCTTTATACGGGAAAGTCCTTGTGCTGGATGGCATTGTTCAGCTGACTGACAAAGATGAATGTGCATATCAGGAAATGATAGCTCATCTCCCCCTCTGTTCGATTAAATCCCCCAAAAATGTAAGGAACAATTATCTGGGTTCTTTTTTTGCTCTTATTATATGCTACTTAGCACCATGTATTTTATGCCGTGGTGTATCTGTTTACTCATTCACTGTCTGAATTAGTCCACTGAATTTAATAATAGTTCACGACAGTAACATACTAGCATTTGGTTCTCTCTCTTAGATTGTCAATGATTGTTGTATATAGAAAAGAGTGGAAATGTTGAACTTCTGTGTGTATTGGATGTTCTAGCCTCTAGTTAGCTGCCTTATTTTTTCTATCTGCAATTTACTTATCTAAATCTAATTACCTAAGTTGAATTTCTGAGAATAGTTTGGTTGTAAATACAGGTTCTTGTTGTTGGCGGTGGTGATGGGGGAGTACTTAGAGAAATTTCTCGTCATTGCTCTGTGGAACATATTGACATTTGTGAGATAGATAAAATGGTTATAGATGTATGCAACAACTCACAATTATAGTCTCCATGTGTCATGAAAAATTATTTCACCAGCTGTTATTTTGATATATACTGTGATTCTTCTGTTTCAGGTTAGCAAAAAATTCTTTCCAGAGTTAGCTATTGGCTTTGAGGACCCCAGAGTCAAACTACATGTTGGTGATGGTAAATTATATATCTATTGAATTTTAATATGAACATTAATCTTGGTATAGTTTTTAGCTGCAACTCATCAGTGGAGACATGTATTTGGTTTGAACTATTTGGGGACACTATTTATCTGCCATAGTTGAAAGTTGAAACATATAACACATTAGTTAGTAAACGAGGTAAGGGTCAGATTGGTACTCGAAGTTGCATAAAAAGGGTCAAATAAGTCCTTATATAGGAGGCTCTGTCAGGCCGTCGTCATTTTGGGCGGTTCCCGGTGGAATTTTTTGATGAAATTTTTTGAGCATCTTATTCATTAAGTCTAGTTTATTCATACTAAATTTCAGCTAAAAATTCAACCGGGAAGGCATTCAAATGAATTTTTGAAGATAACTGTGCTTTTAACTGCGCAGTTACCTTCAAAAATTCATTTGAATGCCTTCCCGGTTGAATTTTTAGCTGAAATTTGGTATGAATAAACTAGACTTAATGAATAAGATGCTCAAAAAATTTCATCAAAAAATTCCACTGGGAACCGCCTCAAATGGCGACGGCCGGACAGTAAGGACTTATTTGACCCTTTTTATGCAACTTCGAGTACCAATCTGACCCTTACCTCGTTAGTAAACTGCAGAGGCATTCATTTAAAGCTTAACCCACTAATCGACCCAAATGTTTGTTATTTTGTATTCCACTAGAAATTTCAATTGTGGTTGTTAAAACTAACAAGGTGAATCAGATCATCAGAAAATTTATATGTATTACTTCAATTATACTCTTACATATATTCTCAAATATAATTGTGAATTCTCTTGATTTTGACAGCTGTGGAATTTTTAAGGCAAACCCCTGAAGGCAAGTATGATGCAATTATAGTTGATTCATCGGACCCTGTTGGTATGTAATTCGTACTTAGCTTTACTTTTTACTTTCATTTTTTTTTTTTACAAAAAGCTATATCATCAGACTATTTCTATTCCATAAATTGAAACACAGGTCCTGCCCAGGAACTGGTAGAAAAACCATTCTTTGAGACATTAGCCCGAGCATTAAGACCAGGCGGTGTGCTTTGCAATATGGCTGAGAGTATGTGGCTTCACACACATTTGATTCAGGATATGCTTTCTATTTGCCTTCAAACATTCAAGGGTTCTGTTCACTATGCATGGACTAGCGTCCCTACATATCCAAGGTAAACAAATCATTTCTAATCCCTACTTCCATAATCCATCATTTCAGAGTCAAGGGTACACAGAATAGTTCAGTTGTTAAGGGTAATACTTTTTTTGTACATTGTCTGCAGTGGTGTTATTGGGTTTGTGTTATGCTCCACCGAAGGGCCGCCTGTTGACTTTTTGAATCCGATCAATCCCATTGAAAAGCTTGAGGGAGCGCTCCAATATCGTCGGGAACTAAGGTTTTACAACTCTGAGGTATGATATGCTTTTTCAAAGCTTCCAAGTTGTATTACAATTAAAATCCTTGGGTGTAATTTTAGTACATAAGTGCCCTACAGAGTTACCAACCCTCACTGCCAGTGCTTAATGTTAACTGTATTGATGATTGGTCATGCCCAGTTTACTGTGTGCAGTGAGGATTTAATAAGTACAGTAAGCTGATCAGAACTGAACCCTCAAAAATCGAACTAGTCAATACCAAAATTTATGAAAACCAAGCATGTCAATACCGAAACTGGCAAGAACCGGCCAAACCATAGGTGGTTTGGTACAGTTTTTAGGTTTACCATAAAGAACTGGCTGAACTGACCAAAATTGTCCAAAACCAATTGAAACCAACACGAATCAACCAAAAATAACCAAACCCGACTAAAGGTGTTTGGTTCAGTTCTTGGTTTTACATTTCACAAAATCAATCCGACCCAAACCGGACCAACAATACTGGAAAATGACAAACATCTCTAAGAAATACTACTAGTATATAAAAGGTGAATATTTTCGCTTGTAGATTGTTTTCCCACTCATGTTCCTGTTTTGTTTGTTTGGATTTTTGCAGGTTCACAAAGCTGCATTTGCGTTGCCGTCTTTCGTAAAGCGGGAGGTGAGCTGTCTGCGAGATGTTCGACCTACAAATGGTGTAAACTCAGTAGTTTGATTTTTTCCCGACTATTTATTTCCATGAATATTTGGAACTTATTTGTGAAGACTTGAGATTTATCACACTTGGAAAATAAGCATTTCTAGCATACATGATATGCTGCAATTACGCTCTACATTAAGGATTTTATTTATTTGAATTATGTTGGAAGAAAACTATTGATGACTTTGTCATCAGCAATAGATTGGCAAGGGACTAGGGGTGGACACAGACCCAAGACCGAGCCGGAACTGGCCGTTTTTGTTTAACCAAAACTGATTCAGATGGTTCTGGGTCAGAAGCATATCCAGGGGAGGTTTAGGGTCCCGGGCTTGGGTGGTGCAAATTAGAGGTTTAGGATCAGAAACAGCCATCCAGTCCTTTTTTTTGCAATAGAAAAGCAGGGGAGGTCCATTTAAAAGATGAAAATGGCAGAGGAGGGTTAAAAATATATGTATAAAAATTACATCCTGGAACATACTGAATCCGCAGGTTCATTAGAACTATGCATGGACTCGGGTCGGTTTGGTTCCAGATCTGGGCAGCTGGGCTGAGACCGCCTGCCCGCCTGGTGCTTAACCCTCTTGTATAGGAACAAGGCCTGGCCGGGTTTTTTAAGCCTTACATATTTTCATATGATATACGTGATCTTGTCACTTATATCATTTTGGAGATTGATTTGTAGTTTATTGAGAATTAGAGATTTGTTTCTCTTATCTCTCGCAATGATAGGAAGAATGTCCCATTAAGGTGACAAGGAACAAACCGTTTAATTTGTTGAGGATTTTTTGTAGCACATTATTATTGAGGGTTTGTATCTGGCATGATAAACATCACGTCTTTCTAGGATCCAATATAGTGTATTATGAGATGCACAACAGACACGCACATGTAACGATTACAAATGCATAAGTAGAAAATCTCAAGCTAATATGCATTTGCAAATTGACAAACGTAATAATGATTAGGTAGTAGCGGAGCGGGTCTCAAAAACAATGTGCAAGGTCCTTGCAATATTGTGAAATCCCATGGTCATAGTGCATATATTGGTGTGTGTAAATACAATCATTTGCAACACCTATATCTTTAGATGTATATTCCACTTAGACTCTTCCTTTTCACATAAGATGCACAATGTTTTACATTAATTTTGATGAACATGCAATACTCAATCACACAATGTTAACTTTATAGTGCTAACAAGACTTACAAACTTAATTGAATGGGTGTTGAACTCATAAATAAGTTATGCTAGAAGTTTTAAGCGAAAAGTAGGATAACATGTATTATTCAACATTGATTTTTGGAGAAGTTGATATTTTATCTATACAAAAAGTATGATATCAAACTTGAGTCAATTTAGGTCAACTATTTTAAAGAAGTTACGCAATCATGAATACCGGGGTGTTTCCAAAATGTGTTACTATATTGCATAAATATTTTCAATGCAAGAATAAGTGTATATGTACTCCAAAAATAAAGAGAACATGGATAAAATATAAACAAATTTATAGGTGTACCGAGTATGGTTGACGAATGTGATCCTCGCATAGAGGCTGTTCATCTTCAGAATGTGTGTTGAGTAACATCGACCTCATGAAGATGTGCCCCATAGACTTGTTCTCTAAGCGGAACATCGATCATCTAATAGATGAGATTGTTAGCTAACAGATGAGATTGCCGAATGTGAGATAATAAATTTTCTCGACATCTTCCAGATGCTACCACCAATTATTCATGCACAGGAATGGCATCTTCTATTATCGTGCGATGGCATTCGTTCTAAAGAACTCTAGAGCTGCATACACAAGGATGGTGGTAGATCTATTCATGAAGGCATTAACTCGGCCTATGAGACCTCTATGGAGGACACAATTGTCAAAAGTAGACAACAGAGCAAACCTCTGGGAGATATTCGAGATAATGAAGCAGGTCATCCTCCGACTCAATCGAAAGAAAAACATCTTAAGTGTCTAGGGTGCGGAGTTCCTATGATGTATGGTCAGTTAAAAGGGTATCAAAGCAAATCCAGAGAAAATCAAAGTCATCATTGTCATTTCAAGACAATATAACGGCTCACAGCAAAGTCATCATTGTCATTTCAAGACAATTTAACGGCTCACATGTCGGTTCACATCCTCAACCGCTTCCTCTCCAAATTGCCCGAGATGTCCCTCGCATTCTTTAAGATAATGAGGAAAGCAAAAAGCTTCCAATGGACAACAGAGTTTGAACAAGCCTTCAAAGACGTGAATATATACCTCACCTTGGTGTCAATTCTCTCCAAATTAGAAGCATGGGTAACACTTTACATGTACCTCATCATTAATATGAATATGATCTTCGTACTCATCCAAGAAGATGAAGAGTTGTGGAAGGAGATATACTAAGAGGCATAGCTCAATCACCCTTAGATCGAAAAGATGATGTTAGGCATTGTGTGGATAGTGAAGAAAATTTTCCACTACTTTTTAATGCACCTTGTCTATGTCCTCACCCAGCAACCGTTGTGCACCCTAATGAGAAGTCCACCAACTTAGTCATAATGGTAAATATGTCATTTTATTAAGCTAGTTTAGACAATGGCTAAGACTCGACCATCAATCAAGTGGTAAGTCGTGGAAAACTACATTGTCGAGTGCATAGACAGTGATGAATGGTGGACCCTACCGACTGATAGCTCATCAGCCACCAAATTTTATGGGGGGGTGTCCTAAAAACTTGGAGGGCTTCTAGGCATACTATGACATCCATTCCATTGGACTGAATTTTAAGTTATAGTCCGAACTGATACGTTATCATCTGAGTTGTTAATGCATTTCAAAATAATAAGAATACACATAAGAACATGACACTCCTCATTAAATCGAACCAGAAAGAATCAGACTAGACCATATCATATTTAACCAGATCAACTACAGTAAATCATATCTTACCAGATCGTTAATCGGGCGATTGGCGCGCGCTAAGCTTTGCGCGTATTAATCAGACCGATTAGGCCGCTTTTTAGAATTATGCATTGAACTGTACCACTATATCATGCTATAACATACCATACTGGAGCTGGCCAGACCTGAGCATGGAAAAGTTTGAAAAAAGATGGTGATTTATAATTTATGTGGCATTAATATAAAACTCATTGAATATTGTTTACTTTATGAATCAATAAAAATAATAAATTTAAGTGCGCACATAGTGCATGCTAGTTCTTTTGTTGATAAAACAGGTTTTGGACTTCTTCAGACTAATCTTACTCGTTCAAAACTGACCCTAAACACTTGGGAGATTTCGAACTGAACCCTTCAACTATCAAAACTGACCCTAAACTCTTGGGAGATTTCGAAGTCAAATTCTTCATTTTGTCTTTCAAGTTCCTAACATCATTTACTATATTTGTATATAAGGAGCGCACTTAACTTATTAAGCGTGTCTCAAGTTCTTGACACTGTTCTAGAAGAAACGTCATTAGTTCTTATTTCTTAACATCAAGTTCAAACTCGCACATTGCATGTAGGCTACGAGTCAATGTCATTATTTCAAGAAAATTAACTCCCCAATATCATGAAGAAGTGACTCGAATTTAAGATCCCCATAAGTGTAGAAACATAATGAATGTTGAACTAATCCATGCGCTCTACAATTAGGTTCTTAGTTTCCGTGTTGTGATGTCTAGAAATTAAGTCATTACTTCTATTTTAGATAATACTTTAGTGATAAAAATACCAAGAAGTAATTTATTTCTATGAAAAGTCTCTTTAATTGTTCATTTTTATATAATACTTTTGATTGGTTGAGGAAGGGCACATCTA